TGTGTGTGTGTTTGCATGTGTGTGTGTGTGTGTTTGCATGTGTGTGTGTGTGTTTGCATGTGTGTGTATGTGTGTGTTTGCATGTGTGGTGTTGTTTGCATGTGTGTGTGTTTGCATGTGTGTTGCATGTGTGTGATGTGTGTGTGTGTGTTTCCATGTGTGTGTGTGTGTTTGCATGTGTGCATGTGTGTTTGCATGTGTGTGTGTGTGTTTGCATGTGTGTATGTGTGTGTTTGCATGTGTGTGTGTGTTGTTTGCATGTGTGTGTGTGTGTGTGTTTGCATGTATACATATATGTGTATGTGTATGTATGTGAGCATATCTATGCATATGTGTTTCTGCATGTGCATGATAAATAAAAAAAAAAAAGAAAAAAGAAAAAAGAAAAAAAATTGATTTTGGTCTTTTCATAAAAGAAAAGCTTTCAGGAGTGTACCTGGAGAAAGCATGGACTGTGTGAGTGTAGAATGAAAGATGTTCTGACCAAGGGAGTGAAAGAGGAAAGTGAAAAATTAGCAAACACAATACGAAACTCCCTGCAACTTACCCTTACAACCTGTTGACTGTGTTGTCAGAAACAGTGTCCTTTGGCCCCTCCTGGCGGTGCATGTGCTCAGTTTCATGCTCTCAGAATGGACAGTCATACACAAGCACACATTCAATATTCATACATTTACACATTTAAATACAGTTTAATAGCTCTAACAAAGCATTCACATTTCAATTATCTTTTACCACTGGTTTTTGTTATTCCACAGGAACATTTTGTCAATTATCTATGAAAGAAAATAGTACAAACACAAAGAGGTAACAAACCTAAACTGATGGTAACTTAGGATTAACTGATTTGTAAATTATATTTCATGAAACAAAACCTTCGAATTTCAAAATGGTTGCTCCACACCCATGAAATTATAGGCCTTCCACATTGGTACTTTGAATTTTGGTACGATTTCATTTGCAATCTAATACTTACCTTGACACTTGAACATGTAGCAATGTTTTTCTTTCTTGTTCTTTTTTTTTCCATTATGCTCCAAAGCTAGAACTCTTCAAAATATCTATGAAATGATGACTGTGATGGTGAGAGAAAAAAAGAACAATGATATGCCCTAATAACAGTTTCCCTAAAACTCTATATAACTAAATACAAATTTCCATTTTTTAGTCCCATTTAATATGACTTTTGAGGATTCCTCCCTCTCTGGGTACCCATATACAAAAAGAAAATATATACCAAATGAGTAGTGGTTTACAAAAAAAAAAAAAAAAAAAACTAGTAAAATGACAATTACCACCAACTTACTTTCTTGTATCAGCAAATATTGACATCTGATGACATGAGAAAAGGGGGGAAAATTCTCGTTTTACAAATAATAATAATCATATGATTAAGCATGCTTTTACCTATTCACTGTTCCTAAACAAGATTTGCTTGACTCTGAGGTTGCTGTGTATGAATATAATGAAATGATCAGATATATAATACTGATAGGAGGATGAGCATGGACAGGTGGCAAAATTAGGAGTACAGTGGTCACAACACAAGCCAAGAGCAAGTCTGCTTCTTTGGCCCCTCTTTACATACCTGGTTTGCAAGCATGAATCTATCACAGATAAGAATTTACCTTACATTTAATGAACTGACATGGCTGATAATTATGCATATGGCTGGAGGATGTAATCCAACACTGGTAATGTGTACCATTAAAAACACACTGGTTAACTTATCTTCACTCAAAGAAAATGTATAAAACTTTCACAGAAAAATAAAGCAATATGTTTGAACAACTCTGCAGAGTCAAGTGTGGCAACTCACAAATAGCAATTAAAGAAAAGGATTACCAATATAATTTCTATTTGCATACACATTGCTTCCTTTAAATTTGGTGTACGTATAACAAACAATTTGTTTATAGTTTTCTTTTTAGTGGAAAGCTGACCTTTGATTAAAACTTACTCAGTATGTGAAAATACTAATCAAGCCATCTACTTTCCTGGAGACTGATTGCCACCTCACCCTGTTTTGCTTTAACATTTGTTCAAGGGGAAAAAACTCTAAAAAATATCAATGAAACAGATTTTCTTTAATTTTGAGTGTGCAACATGATGTGGTACAAACACAGCCACATGTTACAGCCAGGCATCCCTGAGGGTGAAGGGCCCACAAGGTAAAGGTTATAATCCCGTCTCAGTCACTTCCAGCACCCAATCACTGTTCATTGCTATCACAACTTCAACCCGCCATTAGTCTGCATAGTCACGCTCCCCAACATTAATGCGATCATTGGAGGTTACACTGAATCCAAGAATACTGTTGTCAACCTTCTGCATTTTCTTCTTATTGGCCTTCTTGCTTCGAGCCTGCAGAAAAAGTGAATGAGCAACAGGTTACACTGGCAAATCTGCTGAAAATCTAAAATAACAGCAAATGGTGTCCTGGGACAAAAATTAGGGTAAGGGGAGGGTGAAAGGAAGGCTCCTCATAACAAATCCAGAACAATGTATTGAGAAATGTGACTATAGACATGAATTGAAACTGAGTTACATGACAGAAGAGTATAAAATCACTTTTTACCTTAACTTCCTGGAACTCTGTGCTAGTTGGATTCACAGCAGGAGCAGGAGCAAGGATATCATCCTCCACCTCCCGTTCCTTCTGTGCATTGCGAGCTTTACTTCGCCGTTCCAGGTATTGCTTAGCAAATTCCTTCACTTCCTTGCTGTCCCCTAAATATGAACGGATGTAGTCATGGACTTCATATGGGGACTCCACCTCAGAGAGAAAAGTCACGAATGTTGGAAACTGGAACAGAAGTAGTTAATTTTTTCTATGCTCTATTCCATACTTCATAATACACTTAAAGTTGTAATCCAAAAGCCTGTAAGAAAAATGAAAAGTTAATGAGTGCTAACTCCTGAATCTGAGTTGACATCTACCCTAATGTTCTGGAACACAACTGTGATTTAGACAACTACAGGATGAAATACAATATAACTTTTAGCATCCTATGCCTTAACTTAAGATACTGAGGTTGAGATGGAAGTAATTAGCATATCCTACAAGATTTTAATGCACTGTATTATTCATTGTATTCTCTTCTTTCCATAATCCAAGATGTTAACTCCACTCTAAAATACTTCAGACACATTACAAAATGAAATGCTTTTGTTTGAAAACCCAAGGAATCTAAAAGGGAGGTAGCATTATCCCCATTGAGCTCTGTAGTAACACATAATAAAAAAGATTCGCATGCTCAAATAAAAGTGTAGATTTCCTGTTGCCTCCTTATACTGATAATGATGATGATAAAAAATAAAAAAACAATCCGTAACAATCCGTATGGCGCCACTCAGGTGACGTCATAGCTCCAGCCCCATTTGACAGGTCAAGTGAGGCGGGAAAGCATGGATTATCAAGTGTGTTGACATATATATGTATATGTATATATATATATATATATTATATGTATATATACATATTTATATGTATTATATATACCCAGCTTTGTCAAAATGGGTGGGGCTAAGGCAAGCCGCCGAGACGAGATGCCAATTAGTCAATTTCCTTACTTATAAGCCTCCTTGTGAAAATCGACCTATTTTCACATCCACCTTACCATAATCCACACGAAATGTACTTTCTGCAAAGAAGTCATTTGCCATGCTATAATTGTCATTCTGCATTAACTTCTTTATAAAAGAAACTACAGGTTTGTGCAAGTTCCTAAATTTAAGATAGTATCCATCTACGCTTCCATGGAATAAGTCTAAAGGTAAGAGAAGGAACCTCTTTAAATATCACATGCATATAAAGATTTTTAAGAGATTAACCCCTTAAAAAGATAATGCCTAATATAGCATAATAGAGGGAAGATGGTCTTTCTCACTGCCTGCCAATCAGCGCTCTAGACGCTAGATTGGGTCTTGGTGCCCCTCCACTTACAGCCATTATTACAATTTATGAATTGTGTCCATCTACAGAGTTCCCATGCACACATGTTGCTTGTTCATTTACTGTACAGATGATTGACAGCCCATTCAAATAAATTAATGCTGCCAGTTCATTTATTAAGCATATAAATGGGAAGTCCTGTCTGTGTATGTATGTGGTCATTAAAAAAAAACATCTGCACCAACCCTTTGAACAAACCATTTGGTGTCAAGTTGATGAAGATGCCTCAATGATTTACAATTAATTATTTTTGCTTGAACAGGCTTGTTTTGCCAAGGCAATCACAAAGACAGCCTGAGCATGTATAGATTATTTTGAAATCCTGATGTCAGTTTATCTGGCACCCCAGAGTTAACCAAGTTTGGAAGGTGCAAAGTTCCTGGATTCTTCATAAAAAAAAACTACCCCTCTAAACACCATTTGTACTTACTGTCAATGGAGGCATGCACTTTCATAGTGTGGAGTGAGCCTTTGCACCACTGAGTGAAACTATCAGCCGGAGATATGCTGTCAGCAAATAATTTTTTAACGTTGTCACTCTCATCTTTCACCTTCTTCTTGCTGGCTCGGTTATTATTTGTATTTTGTGCAGGAGCCCCAGGCTTGCTCCAGGATTCTGAGTGTTTGGCTTCCCAGGATTACGACCCGTCGATGTCACAGCCTTGTTAACCTTCACTGGCTCTGGGTTGTCCCAGAATCCACCTGCTGGGTGAGAGCATGCCAATTGCATCAGGTACTGGAGGCAATGTATGTATATGCATATGAATGTGTACATATATGAAAGTATATGAATATGTATATGAGGATGTATAAAGGCATTCGTGTTTTTGTGTGTATGTAAGCATTTATTTGTAAGTACTGCGTGTGTGTGTGCACAAGTGTGTGTGTGTATGTGTGTGTGTGTGTGTGTGTGTGTGTGTGTGTGTGTGTGTGTGTGTGTGTGTGTGTGTGTGTGTGTGTGTGTGTGTGTGTGTGGTGCGTGTATGTGTGTGTGTGTGTGTGTGTGTGTGTGTGTGTGTGTGTGTGTGTGTGTGTGTGTGTGTGTGTGTGTGTGGTGTGTGTGTGTGTGAGAGAGAGAGAGAGAGAGAGAGAGAGAGAGAGAGAGAGAGAGAGAGAGAGAGAGAGAAGAGAGAGAGAGAGAGAGAGAGAGAGAGAGAGAGAGTGTGTGTGTGTGTGTGTGTGTGTGTGGTGTGTGTGTGTGTGTGTGTGTGTGTGTGTGTGTGAGAGTGAGTTTGTGTGTGTGTGAGAGCGAGGGTGTGTGTGTGTGAGCGAGTGTGTGTGTGAGAGCGAGTGTGTGTGTGAGAGCGAGTGAGTGTGTGTGTGTGAGCGAGTGAGTGTGTGTACCTTGGATGTGTTGTGCATGTATACATACACATACGTGTACCTGTGTGAATACCTGTAACATACATACGTGTACCTGTATACGTATGTATGTGTGCATGCGTGTGTCTGTTTACCTAACTGCCTATCATAGTACCAGTGTATACTTACCTGCAGAGGCAGGAGTTTCTGACTGGTTCCAGATGGAAAGAATGGTCCTTATTCCACACTGAGTGAACCTACATTGGTTGTGGTTGAAGACTGACTATTGTTGTGGCCACTGATTTCCTGAGCCAAGATGCCCACCATTCGCTCCCCCCACTGCAAAAAATGCTTTTGTAAATGGTTATGTACACAGGGAACATCACGACTGGCATGTTTAAGCAATGTTTTCTTTTGCATACTTCAAAGAATCCTTTTGTTTACAGAGAACATCTTGAGCTCACCTGCTGACTAGACATATTGTTGGGTGAGGGTGAGGGAGCAGCCGTGGAGGCACGGTTGGCCCAGGAGAGGTTGGACATGGCTGAACCCCAAACACCTGCAGCTCCCAGACTCAGGTGGCTGACAGCAGCTGCACGTTCGGCAGCCTCCTTCTCCTGTCTCTGTCGGGGCATAATTAAGTATAAAAGTGAGAAAAGCTATAGTTTCTCTGGAATTTGCTCATGATAAGTTACTTCTGGATACTGTCCTCATGGAATGCTTCTAACATCAAGAAATATCAACAGGTTCAATGGTAAGCATAATATTTAGACAAATTAGAGAGGACAGGATGACACTAATAATAACAATAACATAACAAAAGCTTATGATGACAAGAGTCCATTGTCATTATCATCTATGGCTACATTTCTTGACACTGTGAGTATCCTCTGACTGACCTTCTTAAGCTCCTTCTCCTCCTCAGCCTGGATCTCTAAGAGGGATTGACAGGCTGTTGTGATGCTGGATTGGCCTGAGCACGAGCTGCCCACTTTAACCCTGCGTTCTTCTGCCTGGCTTCCTCGGCTGCTTGTCTCTGTGCTTCTCTTTGTCTCTGTTGCTGCATCTGTTGCTCCATCTCACGCTCCTGCAAGGAGAAATAAAGATGAACCTTGCAACCTTTTTCCGCTATTTCCTGATCTGGTTCTAGATATCAGCCCCTCAATGTCAAGCTTTGTGGAGAGAAAAAAGACTTTCCTAATGATAATGGAAGTATGATCGTTACATGACTATATCTAAACATTATCATGAATACCTGTAACATTCACTTTAAATATTTCCATCTTATAACATTACTTTCATATGCCATACATACACCATGTGTCAAACATTCATTTTTAATATTTGCACTTCATACCACAACAATGCTTTCACTTTGCCCATTCTAATAATCAGCTGCCTATATGGTCTCCAATATCCTATTCAGGCTTTTTGCTACAAGCTCCATCATCAAAAACTGCAATAGAGTATCACGTTCAACAAGGAAATTCTAGCAGTTAATGTTCCAGCTCAATAAGGCACATTCCTTCACCTCAAAAAGGCACATTCCTACATCAGAAATGGGGACATGATATTAATATGGCTGAGCTTAAGGGATACTAACCCTTCTCTCTTTCTCTTCCTGCGCTCTCTGAATATCTGCAAGAGATGGTGCAGGTGCAGCCTCAGGTGTTGCCACTGGAGGTGGTTTGTTCCATGCTGGTAATATATTTTTGAGGTGCTCCTGCAGGAGATGCTGGTGCCGCCTCTCTTCCTCTTCAGCCTGGCGCTTGCGTTCTTCCTCTTCTATCTGCAGAGAGAACTTTCTCATTAACTGCTGAATCACTGTCACTACCGTTGGGCACATGTAAAAATGGCTTTAAACTTTAGACGAGAGCCCATAGCCCCTAGCAACCTGAGACACGGACCTGTTGCATGTGTCTGCGTTCTTCCTCCAGAGCAATCCTCCTCATCTCTTCCTGAATCTGGGCTTGCTGTCGTGCCTCCTCTTCCTCCTCACGTCTGTTGGATGCCAAACTTTTTAGTTGTATCACACACACATAACCTATTAAATTTGCCTATGTTTTACCAACCCAAAAAGCTATATGCCACTTGAGAATAAATCTCTGCTTTCAAAATAAAAAACTCTCATAAAAAGAGTAAAAATCATGACTCAGGAATAGAATTTTCTATTAGCATCCCAGTCAGGTTACTGCCAATACATAAGATAGTGAATCTGCGTTATATTCCCCTCCCTCCTAAGT